TGAACGTGAAGCCGAACCTCCAGGAATCGTTCTAAAAATTACCTCGGCATGTCATCAAGGAATAAAAACTAGTTTCCGGCTTTAGTGTGACTCATATCCATCAAATGTCAATTTCAGGTTCATTTCTGGGGAAAATGATGGTTTACGTCACGAGAAATGTCACATGTTTTTCTACAACCGATTTCCATTCCGAATCACGATCTTCACCATATTTATCGTGCCACTGTTGGCCACGTTACTCATCTATGGACTGATTCTTTCTAAACTGCTTAAAGCCAAAGCTGAATTTGAAATGACCTCAGAAAGGTAAGTCAAGCCTTCCGGTTAGATTGAAAATGATTTCATATAGACATATAGTTTATCCATTTGCTCTGCTTCAACAGTAGGCGTGGTCTGGTGACGCGCGCGGTCGCGTCCGCGTCTTTCAAAGTGACCTAGTGAACAGCTGCGGTGCCGTTTATATAATCACGACAAACATGTGAGATATCACCTAGAAAAGGCAGAAACAAAACAGCCTTTTCTTCATAGGATATAACTCAGCAGAGTGCTGTAAGATTCCAGTGGGGCGCAGCGCGACCGCACGCGTTGAAGCTTGCTAAACTCATCCTACATTCTGATGACGCCTTACTGGATAAGACTTTTTCAAGCAGAGGCATCCACATGAATAATTCCACCTTTCCAGACGCACCAGTACACGTCGATCGAACGTCCACTCAAAACTGAAGCTAGTCCGGACAACCCTGCTCATCGTTTCTACGTTCTCGTTGAGCTGGGGCTTATGTGTGCTATATTTTGTGTTGGTCTGTGTTGACGGATGTCCGTTTACCTACAATGTGAGTGAAGAACTCCGCCCTTTTGGGACGAATCCCGCCCATTTTCTGAAATGATCAGTCATAATTTAGGTGTCACTCAATTTCTACCTCGGCTTGTTTCTCAACTCTACTGTCAACTGTTTGGTGAGTGGAAGACAGTTTTTTGTGGTGTAACAATAGCCGTCTTCTGAACCAACAATTAAACTCCTTGCGACTTCAGCGCTAAGTTATGAGCTCAGGAAGAGCCCTGTTTTGAGTACTATTAATATCCTCCAAAATGCCGGTCAATCATATTCATCTTTATTCTAGCGAGTCTTGAATTTGCATTGCTTTTTGTCTGTGGCTTTTCGACTTGCCAGGAATTTGGGGCAAACAATCTGTTAGATACTTTGATTTGTGATCGATAACGTGTCGCCCAGTGTCAAGACGCGAGCTGTCGCGTCGCGCGCATCAATTTAGGATGAGCTCGCGGGCTTTTCGTCCCGCTCAGGGGGGACCTGTGTCTGTGCTGCTTTTGAAGATCTGTTTTCTTTTCAGGTGATGCTGAAACTGGCGTCAAATCCATTCATCTACACGCTACGAATTCGTGCCATCAAGAGCAGTGTGGACACTTTTCTAGCGACGCTTTTCCATCGGAAAACCTATCCAACACATATCACCGGCAAAACCTCAAACGCTCTTCTGGGAAACAGTTCCGGTGGAGTTTCCCCTGTAGGACCTGTCTACCCTCCGTTACCTCTTCCTAGTCGATCTTCGGCTAGCATCGATTAAACAAGTATCATACTATCAGTGTGATTTTCATATTGTTTGATTCGTCTGCTTTCTGCGTACTTTCTCAAACAAAGTTCTTTCTCAACTCCAGATAACGTAATCGATTTATTGATTTTCCTCTCTTAGGCCAAAATCGTGGTTGGCCTTGTGTGTGTGTTCACGAGGTTACGGAGTATGTAACATATCCCATTTGGATGATCTCATGCTTCAATGAATATTTTGTCAAGCTTTTCGAGAAAGAGAATATCTTCTCTGAAACCGCCGATAAGCGGTCGGTGATGCTTTCCTCGTTTGCAGAGCGTTTGCGCGTATTTGACGGTAGAAGAGACCGAAATTGTCGCCATCATTCAGGGGAAGTTGAAGCCTGACATTCATAACGAATGTTAGCCGGCGCCTGCCTGACGGTGAGGGGGGGCTAGAGTAAGACGGGGGACGTGGAATATACCGGCCGCCATATACTCGGTGAAATCGCAAGGAGGCCGAAGAACTTTTGGTAGCGGTTATAGAAAAGTCCATACGCGTCGCCGGTGATTCCTCGGTCCTTCCTGGCTTTAGGCTTTCGTAGTCCTTACTCCTTCATTCACCCTGAATCCCATTACGTCCTCCTTCACCAAAGCGTAGCAAATGTGCGATGATCTTTGTACAGACTGGTCATGGTAACCCTTGACAGGTATGGTTGCGGTAAAATTACTTAGGTACGCGTTTCCAGAATTTCGTGTATGAGAGAATGTTGCACAAGAGTCGAGTCCTTGTGGCAGTAATGAGCTCTTTCTGAGGATCACCATAGCTACATAACTCCGCCGTGGGAAGCCGCCGCGCAGATGCTTTGCAGATGTTTTAATGGATAGGGGCCAGCTGTAATTTCGTCAAACTCGAAGTCAAAGAGCTGAAAAAGGATCTCATTTATGAAGTTTCCCATCAGTACTCCTGGCTTCTTCATCACCGGCACACTGATTGTCACCTGAACTTTCACATTTGATCGGCACCACATTATAGAGGCCCCTGCCTTTAAGTACGTTAAGACGGTGAAATCGATTTGATGCTTCGACACTTTTGGTGTCCTAGAATCCACTCGATACGCAGGTTCAAATCGGCCCTCGCTCCTATTGAAACACCTCTTCGATCGAGCACTTAGACATCACTCTGGTCTAAGTTTAGAAGCTACGGTTTAACTTCAATAGAACGTTTAAAATTTAGATTTGTGTTACGTTAGCAGAGATTTTATTGATTTAATTGATTTTTTGTATAAACTTCAATTGCAACTCGTAAAGCGATTCAAATAAGAAAGGATTCATTTCATGAAAAAATATCGACCGCTGAGATCGTTACAGTAGTGACTATTTATTAATATCCTGAAAAACTGCTTTGTACAAAAGGCAACAGAATCAACACATAGACTTTGCCATCGTTGAGGTCACTTTCGTCGTCGTCCATACCCGCCCAAATAACCTCCCATTCCTCCGAGACCTCCTGCCGTGCCATACATCAGGTCTGATGCATAGTAGCATGCGGATCCAGTTGCAGGAGTCATTCCGTACAAGGTGCCAAGAATCTCACACTTGAACGCGAATTCGCCCAACTGGAACAGATTCACAGCAGCGCAATCGAACTGACGACACGCCTCTTTGCATTGTGCGATATCCTAAACAAATAGGTTTATATCAAAGAACAGTATATAACAACTTGGAGCCATCGGCTCATATGTGGGCTGCAGTTTGTCAACGGTGGGAGACCTTACGACTCCATATTTTAGACATAAGTATTAAGTTTTTTTTTGTTTTCCTTTCCATTTCATTCAATAATTTCTTCTAAGTCATTCAATAGGTTTTGTTCCCAATTTAATTGATAAGATTATTGAAGAATCAATTGAAGTCCCAAGCGGCCGTAAAACGTAAAACATGCGCGGTCTCCAACGTGTTAGTACATTTTTTTACGAATCCCTTG